CTTTTTGTTTCGTATTCAACCAAGGCTTCGTCGGTTGCCCATGGTGGCATAGATCTGACTGAATTGTAGGTTGCACTGTCCAATCCGTGTGTGTGCAAACAAGCAAACACGATCATCGTCGGTTGAGCGTGGGACGATATTTTCGGGGGTCATAGATCAGTATGCAGGTAGGACGCACATGGATCTGGGTAAACAGGGATCCCATTGAACGTTTTCACTCTTTACTGTGCAAGATACTATCCACATAGCAACATGGCATCTTAAATTGATACTCAGACATCTTAAATTCATAACGTGACACCTTAAACTACAAAGGCTTAGTTCACACTGACTAAAGTTACTGATTACCGGTGGAACGCAACACGGGTCGATACAGGCAGACCGCAAGCGCACTATCCACTCGGCCACCAAACAGCTGACCCAAACGTTTTATTCTATTTTTGTGAGCTTAATTCACTTACTGTACCTCCTACATCGCGGCACGAGCCTTCTAGGTTATGATTCGGTTAGAAACACTTCAATCTGACTAAAGGATACATAAGAGTAGTAGAAGATTTGCTTTGAACATATAGCGAATTTCAGTTTTTACAGGGTAAATGAAGCTTGCACTGAAAACCTGTGCTGCACTGATCAGATGTTTTGACTAGATTGGGGCTCATAACCAGTGTGGTTCCTTCAGCCCAACTGCGTATCAAATACGGAGCCTCACAGGCCGGTGCTAAGGCGCGCGAGATCTGATAATGCATTGAGCTTGCAAAGATGGGTTTTGATATATAACATGTATTAGGAAACTGAAAACCGGTCTGATCAGTTGCTCGGTTGTCAAGGGAGCAGTACGCTCACGCGTTCTAACTGCTAGGTCCCGTGTTTGATAACCAGTTGGGACAGTGGAATGATGAGACCAGATTGAGACTTAACAGCTTCGTGCGTTTTCAGTTCACATTTCATTTACCCTGAACACGACGAAATGCACCATGTTTCATTGTTTCCTTTTTCTGGTAGAGCAAAACGACCTATCAGACTTTGGATTGAACTGGTGATCTCACAGGGGAAACGTATTCACCTACACCACTGGAATATGCAATCATTCGTGGTCTGAAATTTTTGACAAAAGTGTCCAGAGTGCGCTCGTTCGTAATTTATCTGGTTACCGATACTGATCATCCTCATTCTTGGATCCAAGTTCTGCTTCGTCTAACACTGAATAGATTACGCAACATGTCACGAAATGACAGATTAGTCAAAATAGAACAAGGCGGACAATAATTCAATTGTTCATTTTTTTAATCTAATGAAAATAGTGATTAGTAACCAAATTGTAAAACATCCGTTCGTTTTTACTCTACATAGTGAATGGTGCTTGCGGCAAACGTTCTCTGGATTTGTGTGCCCTGGAACAGGACCGAAATAGAGCAGATTAAATTATGTACAGCTCGATAGGAGTATATAAAGTCATTATGACGCTGATTATTCACTACCCTTTTCACCGCCATTTTTCTGCCCAGTCTCCGACTTCAGCCGCGCAACTTCTTGTTTTAGCAGCTTGATCTCTTGTAATAGTTGTGTGTTGGCCTTCTCCAACCGCTCGGCATAATCACGCAAACTTTGCTCTTTACTTTTGCGAGCCCGACGTGAACGTCTGGCAGCCTCGTTATTTTTGACACGTTTCTCCCAGTACGCTTGATCTTTTACCTCATTCGGAGTCATTTCCGGATAGCGTCGCATCCGGGGGTTACACACAGTTGGATCTTGTCCGGTAGGCCTGGTCCCAGTATGGTGTGCACTGTTAGAGGTTCGATGGGATGGAATTAATGCGGTCGGTCGACTCAGTGACCATGTCTCAGAGTTTGTGGATACGTCAGATACAGGAGCATCATCCAGTGCATGTGTAGGATCGCATGTCTCAGACGTGCGGGTATCACTGGCACTGTGTGATCTACGGCCGCGTAACTGAGGAGTGGTTACATCTGTGGTGCCAGAAATTATAGTGGTTTTGTAGTCCTCGGTGTCACTCATTGTGGGGTACCGAATGTGGCTCGGGGGTTGACTTGACGAAAGTAACATCATTTCTGATCTTGAGGGCTTTTGTGTTTCTGCGTTATTTTCTTCCAGCGGAAGGCACTTGGATGGAGCTATCTTTCGCAATCTTCGTGAAGCAGTTGTGCGTCGGCGGCGTACCGTCCCCGTATTTGTTGAAGCAGGCTGTTCGTCTTCAGTCTGCAACTTCCCAGATTCTTGAACAGGAGAAATGGATACAGCCATTTGCATAGGAACCGAAACCGTGGTAACTAAAGGAACTTGGTTGGAAATCTCTGAAGGAGATTCGCGTTCCGTTTGCGTGGGCGATTTTTTCGAAAGGTCAAGTGGGGTCTCTTCTACACTGGGAGTTGGATCAGGCCAACGCCAATTGGGATCTGTGGGATTTAGTAAGAATCTACCTAGTGGTTGACATGAACTAGCACGTAAGCGAGTAGCCAGTTGTGGAACAGATGGTCGTAATTCTGTACCCAGAACAGAACACAGTAAAGCCGATGTCAGGGGCGATGCAGACGAGGCCGAGGAAAGACTGGTCGCGAATGGGGACTGTATCAACTCTGAATTCAAGTTGGGTATTCCTGTCAGTGGGAGGGATGTGGTTGAAAATGTTCGATTGTTTCGTAAGGCAATTGAATTGATGATGGTCTCGGGCAGATGAGATAGGGCAGATGTAAGTAATGTTCCGTTTGTTTCGGGGCACAAACCCTGTAAATAGACAGTAGCAAAGCATCGGAAATCAGGATTAAATCATCTAATAAATACAAGTTGGGATAAACAGCTTGACTATATCGGTGATTAACGTTTTATCAAATCTTCTCAACTGCTACGGTTACATTCACCAATCTACTTTAATTAACGAGTAGCATACTGAACTCGTTTGGCAATATGAGCGGTCTCCTGCATACCGTGAATTGAGGAGCGTGGGTCATGGACCAGTTTTTTGTCCGAATGCTTGTGTATAGAGGTTGTTATCGATTTCATCAATTGAAATTGCTTGATTAATTTGGACTATACGAAACAAGTTTTAAAATGTTCATCTCAACCAGTTACAAGTTCTGTTTCGTAATTTCATTTTTAGGGGGGAAATGTGAGTGGCTTATATCAGTTGAAACTCTGGCAGATCAAGCAAGGATATCTAAGATTGTTAGTTCGTTACATTATCACAAGTATGTTCGATCAGACCTCGATAGTTGATTTTCTGTCAGCATGATCGCGTTCAGCACTGGCATTGGGTTCTTGTCTCCGGAACAGGCATAAATCTTTGAAGCAAACATTCGCCGTGGTTACCAAACAAGTGTGATCAAACAACGCTTACATATTAATTGCGGTACTTGAATTATTTTAAGAGATTAATGAACAATCAGAAACTTATTGGAAGTGCGACAACAAATCTTAAGAGCACTTTCTAGTTGCTTCATTCTTGTTGGGTATGGGCAAAACTACATGGTCATGGAACCAGACGTTACCATCAGGCTGCCGAAACTAGTATTCTCAACGGCATCCCTTCTTTTGAAGTCATAAACACGGTAACATATTTTGCTGAGTATAACCTGTCATACTGCCCTTTTCACCCGGCGGGCATTCGCTCGAACGAAGAAGGTAATCCTTTCACTGTATTAGACCAATATTCGTATTGTGAAATATAGCCCGAATGCTAGATCCTCGGCTCAGTTGATGATGGTGCGTACATGTTTACGCCTCCGTTATGCGTACCCTGATACTGTGAGTAGCGCATGAAATTATGTATGAAGTACGATAGGTGGCTTCTTGCGAAATCGCAAGGTGTGAAAATACTCGCATTCATTATTTTCAGTTACTATTCAATCTTAGTTCCCCTTACTAAATCAACACCACAGCTATTTGTAAACCACGTTTATTCTTGACTGGCTGCAGTTCACACTGCATCCAATCCTATCTACAAAGTATGCCGTAAAGTCGAGTGGTGCCAGACTTGTTAGGGTTCATCAAAAGTCGGTATCCAACGTTTCACCCCGGTTTTAAATTCCGAACCTGTATCGCGTTATTCTGTTAATGAAAATGTTACTCAGTTATTTGCAAATAATCACCGAGTAGCAATAACCCAGAGTTATTCAGGCTACACTTCATCGTTACCGTGTCAGACGAAACACCATAGGAAACATGTTGAACAAACTCGATTGCGTAATTTTAACAGTCATGACGGAACTTGGTAAAAAACAAGTCTTGAAATCTAAGCAATTGTAATCGTGCTACTCATTAGTAGCACAAAATAACGAGCAAATCTCAAAACAAAAAACTGGAATAGCACTTTGCCGAAATCTCATGCAACATCAATACAAAGATAACCTAGATTTTTATCGTGTGGAGTAATCTACCGCTTAAGACTACGCCCTTCGCCATCATCAATAAACGAAAGAGATCTTCCTCTATTTTATATCGGGCGAACACATAAAAACGGGATTATCTTTACAGAACACAGTCATAAAAGAAATATCAATTTCTGCAAGATTCGAATATGGAACTTAAAAGAAAATTGAATTACGATGTCATCTGTTATGCTCTTATATTTATTTCATAACCCTTCAAAAAGATCATATCATAATTCAAAATTATTGTTGTAAAAATTCATTTTACACTTTTCTCATTCGTATCCAAGAAAGTACATTGTAAATAAATTCCATCACGTTTGAAAATCACATGATAACGCCATCTACGATAGCAATTCAGATAGACGGCGTTTACATTTGAATGCAAATGAAGATGCATTTAGAAAATTCTATAAAAAATGTCACTTGGAACTAAATGTATATTTCGGTTCATTTGAATGTTGCCCTATAAGCGGTTACCAACTAGGCTTTTACGAAACTGAAAAGTCAGAATTTGAAAAAGGAAACGCTTATGAACCGCATTTTCATTTTGTCACCATCCGAATAGGATTATCTGAAGTGAGGGGAAAGAGTAGTAACGATGATAGATATATGTAGTATATAGTGGTGGTAGCATCTATCCCGTTGAGGGTTAGGTAATACACATTGCAATAATGAACAATGACCGGCTGTAGACTGTACATTACATAACAACACGTTTCTCGGTGGACATGTTAAATTCGGTTACACTTTTGAGAGTTCATAACAACATCTCTCTTGGGTGAATTAGTAAACAACTGAAGCCGTTCAATTTTATTCTCCGAATAAGCTCAAATAGGCAAATCTTACGGAAGAACTTTGGGAATACATTGGTAATAGAGATATCCAGATACATGAACTCTGTACCACCCAATGGCGAATTGATTGTACGATACTGTACTTGCCTGTACTTGCAATCGCTCTTTGTGGTAATCAGCTAAAAGTAGTCAAAAGCTTTGACTAGCTCCTGATCTGGAGTTGGTATTGGAGAGATCACTTTACGAACAGCGACGGCTAGATCAGATTTTACCAACCTCTGACGCCTCCATGACATGTGACTGTCCCTTAAGGGAAAGGTGTACATCAGCATAACTCCTAGCGTTTTCCATTAAGGTTTTCAGACCGGGTCTCGAGTTTCTGTATTTGACGACCGACGCTATCGAAGAATCGCTCTTGTCTCTTGGGAACATCGTGTGAACAATGACGAGATGTCGTCCTTTTGTTGGTTGCTTATAATCGTTCTCTATACGAGGTAATCGCTCTATACCGCCTTCGATGCCTTGGTCATGTTTGCTGTATGCTTGCCCATCGCATACCCCTCTGTCCTGTTTGCCTGTACTGAGCAAGGCCCGTAGAAGCAACGCGGCGGTCAGATCATGGCCTGGAATACAGTTATGAAGAAACTGGCTTCAGCATTAGCTTCGGTTGGTGCAGCTCGCCTTCCCTGCTGGAGGTCTAAGAGGTGAAGATAGACGATGACTAAAGACGCTTGGAAACATGGCTCAGAATAGAAGTCAATGGAAAGGTTGTTATACTGTTTGTTCATTGAAATCCCATTCCCCATAAAAGACTAAAGGTGTACGATCAAACTAACAAAAAACTTTCTTCCTATTCTCCTTCACCTGTTTTTCCCATTCTTATTTCAATTATTGTATCCTAAACCCACCACTCATGAAATGATTGTTGTGTTGGAACCATGATTGTTGTCAAGCCATTTATATATGTATAGGCTTATTAGTTTATTATTTATATTTACATATTTCGCATGTCAAAGCATTGGGTAAATTCCTTTTCACTAGTGGACATGCGAAGACATTCATGGATTAACACTAGCCTCGAAATTCGAACTAAGGCAGGTAAACTTTTCTAACTAGTGTAACAGTTGACCGCGCACTCGAGTTGATCAGTAAAACCTAGGAACATAGCAATGCATGATACTACATCTAACTGTCCCTACTTCTACTACCGGATTTCAGATAAAAGTGATTATAGCCGCGATTTACGTGTGTTCATGTTGAACTCATAATACTTATCAGTTAGATACATACCGCTTATCGTTCACAACAAGAACACAATAGCTGTGCACAGATAATGATTGCTTATCCGGACGTGAATCCAACATTTTTGATGTTGAAGATCGATTAAATGTTCCCAAATTCAACTTTACCCATTTGTTGTGCTCAAATCGGCGGAGGATTTGCTTTATTGTGGTCTGCATATGAATGAAGCATCATCTTTAGTGCCTCTAATTCATTTACTGCAGTCATGTAGTCAAGTGAAACGAGCAGTCTTAGATTCGAGTCTAAATAAGTAATTATTACTGAAATGAATCAACGTAAATGAGACCATTGACATGAAGGCGATCATTGAGTCAAACTGAATTTCATTAAGTTTCGGAAATTATTAAGATATTTTTATTCTAATTGTGATTGCGTCGCAAAAGTCCATTTAGATCTCAAACCAGAGGCAATTGTTTCCTGTCTATACCACTGATCCTTCATCATAAATGCAATAATGATCTTCGAGCATGCTTTCGCAGTAGGTTTCTCAAATACCTCAGTTTTTCTGGGGCTCATGTACAGCCCTGTTAAACACAACCACTTGGAGGCCTCTCAACAAAATGGGATGATAGTGTGAAATCATAAGTAACCCAATACAATAGAGTGCCTTAACCAACCAAGTAAATGCCACTTGTGAAATACGGAACTATCCACGCTTCAGTGATTAGTAGCAGAGGTCGGTGTTCACTTAACAGCGAATGATTTAATTATCCCCACTGTTCAGACAGTTTGCACGGTCGGATGATTACGCTCACTGGTTTTACAGCCCGACGCCTGTATTTTCGAAAGCAACTTTGTTCATCGGTGCGATCCCCTCCCCCCCCCCCCANATCCCCCCCCCCCCCCCCCTAACACACACTCACACATATGCCATCTCTGGCTCAAATCGATAGTGGAGGAAAGATGCCCGATACATGTTGCGTCGGTTGGATTGGGGGAATTCCCTGACTGACTTGGGGCAACGCTCGCTCACACACATGCGCAAGATTACCACACCCGACTGATCCATTAATCAATCAATGCTAGCGCGCAATAGTGAGGTCATTCATCCTGCCCTCACAGCTGGAGTTTCCCAAAGACCAAATCGGATCGATCTGGTTGTATTTAGAATGAGGGCTGTTTTAACAAACACCCAGTTAATGGGTGCGGGTCCCGGTTAAATTGTTAACAAATGATACACGGTTTTGATCTACGGCGACCGTCAAAGAACGCGTTTAGTGAATCAGTGTTCGCGTTTTGAGATTCCTATGGCGTGGATTCA